TCAGGGCTTACAGGCTTTGGATGTAGTGTCCAGGGCTGAGGTTCAACAACGCTTAGGTCTCAGGTCACGAATCTTCAGGGTTTTGGGTCAGGGCTAGGTTCACGGTTCAGGGTTTGCGGTTCAGGGATTAGGGCTTAGGGTCACGGGTGTAGGGTTCAGGCGATTTCTCTGTCTCAAAAACACGAATTTGCAACACGTCACAGCAAATAGCGCCTCATGCTTAAAGTTGAGGGCTCCAGGCTTAAGGTTTAGGGGTTTAGGGTAAGGCTTTAGGGTTTAGGGTAGGGCTTTAGGGATTTGGGGTAACACGGTTTTCTAGGGTTAGAGTTTAGGGTTAGGGTTGAGGGTTCGGGGGTTTAGGGGTTCTAGGGTTTTACGGTTTAGGACAAGGTTTAGGGTTTAGGGTCTAAGGGCCTTTCACGGTGGAGGTTTGTGGTTGTTTAAGGTTCAGGTCTCACAGGCTTTGATTAAGGTTTCACATTTAGGTCTCTGTTACAGGTATTTAGGGTTTAGGGTTAAGGCTACAGTCACACTTACTGGTTTAGGGTTCAGGGATTAGGGTTTAGGGTCAGGGGGTTTAGGTTCGGGGCGTGAGTTCATGAGGTTTGTCGGCTTTCAGGTGGAGCCGGTTATTCCGGGAAATACATGCATGGTTTTTTCCTGAAAACCGGCCCGTAGGCTGGCATGTTTGCAGGGTCAATGTTCGCGGTTTTGGGGCTCGGGGTCCAAGACTTCAACGAATTAGGGTGAAGGTTGTGGGCTTGTAGGTGTTGCAGGTAGGGCACGTTTTTCCGGGAAATAAATACATGAATATTTTCCCATGTTTTCATGGTCAATACTTTGGGCTCGGGGGCCAAGACTGCAGCGATTTAGGGTGAAGGTGTTGAGCTTACAGGTGTCGCAAGGTTAGGCCAGCGGACCGGGTGGCCTGACCAAAGGACTGCAGACCACCAGACCACAGAAGATCAGGGGACACGAGAACCAGGCTACCAAAGACCAGGAGACCAGAGGACCATGGAACCAGCGCACGGGGGACCAACGACCAGGGGACCACCAAAGGACCAGGGGACCAGAGGACCGTGGGGCCAGAAGCTTTGAGCCAAACCTGAATAAGGCACGCCTAGAAAAAAAACCTGGCCCGGTCAACGTCCCTAAACCCTTGTTTGGGGGTCAGTGTTCGCCATTTTTACGGTTGGGGGCCAAGGCTTCAGGTGTGAAGGTTTTGGGCCTACAGTGTTGCAGGTAGAGCACGTTTTGCGGGAAATGAGTACATGAATATCTTCCCCCAAACTGACCCGGGCTGGGATCTTCTCAGGGGGGGTTAAGGTCACGATTAATTAAGGTCAAGTGTATGGAGCCCAGCGTTAGGGTTCACGGTTTGAGTGGGGGGGTCGAGGAATCAAAGCTCCTAAGCCGACGACACTTTTGGATTTTACAAAGCGAGCACCACCGCAACTACCAAAGGTCGAAGAATCAAAGTTCCGAAAACGACAACAGTTATGCGTTTTACGAGGCGAACACGCACGCAACATTCAAGGGTCGAGGAATCACAATTCCAAAAACGACGAGGGTTATGCATTTTACAAGGAGCAGAAGCCTGTTACTGTAAGGTGTTGAGGAATCACAAGTCCGAAAAGGGCGACAGTTCCGCAGCGGTTTAGGGTTTAGGGTTTAGGGACCCAAATTGAGAAGTCACAAGCGACCCCCGGGAGAAGTCACAAGCGACCCTTCTACCGCTCTGACATGAGGCGCGAAGCCTTTGGACGCGGCCGCTTGCGCACATCAGCATGAATTTTGCAGTCAAAGCGCAGTTCTGTCCACTCCCATACGGGTTGTACCCCCGCCAACCACTGTGCTGAGAGCCTGCGTTCGCACATGCTGCGGAAATCTCGAGGTGCAATTTCGATCTGATTGAATCTCCGCACATGCCTGTTCCCAGACAAGTAGCTTGTATGCTTCAATTTCTCGTCCAGCGAAAGCTGAAAAAAATCTTTTGCCACTTCCTCAGATCACATCCCTCCTGCTCATTGCAGAAGCTTTGCACAATTTTGCACAGAATCTTGCCCTCAGAAGACACAGAAACAAGAAGCCTGGCTTCGAAGACTTCATCCAGGACATTTCGCGGGAGTCCGTGGCCCTGCACCAAGAAGAACCCTGTCCTCGGTAAATTTGCAGACTTGCCTGGCATTTCCTCGTCTTTCCCTGCTGACGAGAGGCTCACAGCATGCTTGCCGCAGCCTGCGCACCTAAGGATTCTAAGGATGTCCTTCTCTGCTTCTGTACAGCTTTAGAGCTCGACATGATGTAGGAGTCAGGAGAGATACTGGAGAGACCAGGAGAGAGGGTCTATCTAGGAATACTGTGGGGCCTGAACATCTCAGTTAAATTCAGTGGAGCAGCTGCAGGATGATCAGCGCTGGAAGCTTCGCGCAGCTCTGCAATGTCGACAGCCAGCAAATTCTCCTAGTAGCTTCTCATCATGTCGCTCACAGTTGCCACAGCCGTTGTAACGTTGCCACAGGTGCTATACTGGTCCTACCAGTATCATTGACTGCCGGAGCTCCTTGTCCAGCCGTTCTTTCGCCGGATGGCAGGCCATTGCTATGTAATTACTGGACAAGGTTCTGTTCAATGACTGTCAGCTTCATGGTCACTTCGTCTCATCACCAGCATGCTGTACACTACACATTGCTGCCTACACCTTTGCTCCCTACCCAGGTGCTGCAGAAGGGGTCTGTATTCAACATGCCAGCTTTGGGTTGTCACGTGCTGCGCGGCAACACGGACGAGAGTCTCCGGATTGATTGCCCGGGGTGGGGCTTCGGATTTTGATTCTTGGGGCACTGCAACCGCGACAACAAAGCAGACATACTCACCATGACAAGTCATTAGCTCACCACGGCAAGTAATGCACTACAGTGGCACGGCAACACTCAAGGTAGATGGCTTGGGAATACCTATTTTGGTCTTTCAAGGGACCCAAACTCCCAAAATGCGTACTCCCAGCTGCTCCCCCTCCCGAATTGCTTGGGAGCACGCACTTTGGGACTTTCAAGGGCCCAAATTCACAATGTGAACCCCGGGCTGTTCCCCCCATGATGGGAATACGCTTTTTGGAACTTTGAAGGGCCCAAACTCCCACAATGTGCCTCCCCCCATCAGAGCTCAGATCGCTTGGGAGCACGCATTTCCGGACTTTCAAGGGCCCAAAATCTCAAAATTTGTCTTCATCTCGCCTTCAGGCTCTTGTCTGCATGTCTTGTCTGCATGCCCTGCAGCCACGTGTTGCCTGCAACACTTCTACAGACTAGTTGCATAGACTCAAATACATGTATCGGGATCGTATTGGGATCACCCCACATACTAGTCATTGTGAGAAGCAACCTGTCGTAGTAAGAAAAATCTTGTCATGGTACCACCACCCTATTGGGACTGGGTGCTGCAAGGACCCCAACATCGAAAAACATCACGGGGGGGGGCTCCGGCAGGCTCACTGAGCAGAAATCCCAATCATCAAGCACGATCAGACCAGGCCTCGTTGCGCATGGACCTTCTTGGAGGCTCTAAGCCTCGCAGCAGATACTGCTTTCCATGGCTTTCGCCAGCGAAGAAAATCTTCAAAAAGAAGGCCTCTGGGACCCACCGCTGTAATTTTGATCCAGGCCCTCTAGAACAAGGCTGGTAAGAGTGGGGCATGGTCATGGCTCACAAGATGATGTTACGTGGTCTGCGACAAGTGGAACGGGTATGGAACCGGGCATGGAAACAAACACCTGCGAACACCATGTGAGCATCGTTTATCGGACAAACCCTCATGCTACCAGGAAGTGCGGGGACACCCGCAAAAGAAATTACCTGCCGTTTCATACTTAGGTGATCAGCACGCTCCCTCCGAATTATTTCCGCGTATGTCCACCTCATGAATTGCTCGACCTACACAGGCTGTGCTCTGCAGGTCAGAGGCTATGCTGCGACGCTTCACCTTTCCACAGGGGGGAGCCCCAAATTGGCAGGACCCCCCAAACAGGAATCCTTCAAAGGGGACCATGACAAGGAGCTCAGGGTTCATGGCCTGGAGGAGTGGGCCCCTGAGGAGCTACCTGATACCTCCTCTGCGAACAAGCTGCGCATTTCTTGGGGCTCACAAGCTAATCAGGATAGGGAAAGAAGGCCTTAGAGTCTGGGAGGGAATGCATGCCCATGAATACTCAAGTCATAGAGTGCAGCAAAGCGCCTGATTCGGACATGCCGTTTGCTGCTGATCGGGAGGCAGGAGGGTCTGCTTCGCTTGCCTCACTGGCAAAACGGTAAAGTAAAAGCCTCTAGCAGGCTGGACTTCTTGGCTTGAATTACTAAGCTGAATGCGCTGGCAGGCCGCTGGCTTTGGCTGCCTTCAGCCAAACATGCTGAACAATTCACAGCTCGTTTATGATTGTTGACGAAGCGATGTGCGCGTCTTTCTGCCAAGCCTGCTGGCAAGTCGTCTGCAAAGGTGTCATTGAGCAGGGACTCAGCTCAGCAGTTTGGCAGCAAATCCACAACTCTGTCTGCAGGCGCAAATTGCTTGAGATCGCATTCCGATCTGAATCGGGCATGCAGTTGTTTTGCCTGTTACCCTTCTGCCACTGTCCTGTTTCCTGAAATTGTGTCTGAGCATTGCAGCATCGAAGAAATCATCAATAGAGCTGTCCGCATCGGGCAGTGCTGATGCACCTTCTTGGCATGGCCGTTAGAGAGGAGCAGGCAATGATCCCCTATAGCGCGTACTTTCTTGCGTAGGACATCGCAGGACTACGTGTCCGCGCCTCCAGGCGCTCCAGAGGTCATGTGGGCCTGGCATCCCAACACCGGCGACCCAACAGAAACGCCAAAACATATCAAACTATGGTTGGCAGCGTTGTGTAAGCTGTCAAGCGGCAGCCTCATCAGCATCCAAGTCGTCAAACAACGCCTTGCATAGAGTCTGTAATGGTAAAACAATTGGGGCCAGTGCTATACCTTCGCAGAACTACATTACGTCTTAACAGTCTTAACATCAGAATAGCTGCCGTGGTTGTTTGGCTTACTCACAAATGGCCCAGTGTCCTCCACGTCAAAGTCCCCAAACAGCTCAAAGCCGCTGCTCAGCGTATCTGCCTGACACATGTCAATTTCCTAGTCACAGTCATTGGGGGTTGATGTCAGGTTCAAAAGCGCTAAACTGCCGATGACCGTGCCCTGAAACATCATCTCCTCTCTGGCACCGCTTGCCAACTCGCTGACCCTCTCATCTGCTAGCTGACCTTCGCGGATCTGGAGCCTGCAGCAGTGAATCTCGAGCACCCTGAAACGACTCTAGATATCCATGCTCGCTTAGTATCGCTTAATCACATACGTTGTAGGCTCTATAGGGACTTGCCTGCAGCTTTGGCGGCTTGCGGAGATCCGGCTGAAACCTGCAAGCAAGCACTTTAGATGCAAGCAGTAAGCCGGTAAGCTCCCAAATAAAAGCAGCGGACCGCATGCACAGGAACTCTTGCCTTGGCGTCAGTGAGACTTCGGCGCTGTCGAGCCCTCTGTTCTGTGGCCAAAGGGTCCTGAAAAATCTTGCAGGGCAACTCTTGTGACATCTCGCGACGGACTTACAGAGCTTGCCTCGATCCAGCTGGCAGGATTCCTTACAAGAGTCGGGAAGCAGGAGTTGAAGGATTGTCTCAAAGCATAGCCTCAGACCCCTGTCTGACCCGATACTGAGCCCATGCAGTGTGAGCAATACCTACTCCACCAGTGTACAGCTGTGCGTCTGCACCAGCAGCACCTGCCACCGGAAAATCCGGGATCTCTTCCTTATGCAGGGGACAAGATAGTCTCAGTTGGACAGCGCACGTCAGTAAATGGATTTTCAACAATTCAAATCCTGACTCCATCCATACCATGCATCCATATGTCCACATGTACATCTATCGTTCACCATACTTGCCGCTCCATTTCGAACAGTGCGTCCATACTTTGGTTTTACTGATGCGAAGTTGTTGTGCCACGTTTTCTGCACCACCCTCGCGCATGAGGCCCAAGCGGATCTTGCGGCTTTGGAGCTGTGTAGCTCCGATAACAGCAGACCTGAGCCAGTGAAATCTGTCTCAGCACTCATCACACACTGAAATGCCTGTGTCTCTCACAGGAACGCCTGGTGGTTTGGCGTGGACCTGGAGCGCCAAAACTGGGCTTCTCCCACATGTGCAAGGGCAAGCTTAAGGCAAACAACTCGACCAGTTTGAATCCCGCCTGGCACGCGGAGAGCTGCAGATATCTCCTTGTCCCACCAACAGCCAGCAGCCACCTGCTTGGTGTCTTTGCTGCTTGCTCATGGAGCTGTGACTTGAAAGTTTGCGGAGGGCCCAGCCAGTCTGCCACGGAGACATCCCACTCGCTGGCGCCTGAGGAAATCATCAAACTCGCTTCCTGGCATGGCTCTCCACCAAGCAAGGGAGCGCGTCTCCAGTTTTGCTGGACTCTTTCAAGCACCTGGCAGTATGCAGGTCACTAAAAGCGAGGGCACCGCCATGAGGCAGCACTCACTAGGGCTCATTCTGCCAAGTCCCACACTAGGGCAGGTATGGTACTGCTTGTGCGGACTGCCAACATCAGCTGGCAAATGGTCGCAAATTTCGCGGAGAACTCCACGATCGGTTAACCGACTTAAAAAAAGGATCATGATGCTTCTAATTGCAAGTCATTGCAAAAGGATCTACTTATGGCAAGTATAGGGCGCAGCAGACGAAGCCAATTTCAAGTGGGAGTGCTTTAGAGATTTGACGTGATCACACATCACATTCCCTGGGCTCAGGGCAACTTGCCGCCTATTGGCTTCGCAGCTAGAAGCGTCTCAGCAGTCTCAAGTCATCCATCAGGAGCTAGGAGACCACCTCAAGGAATAGGCTGACACAGACCCTGGGAACCTCGGCTCCTTCAGCAGACCCGAACCAAGTCCGCAGCACAAAGATCCACCTTCCCGCGACCACAGGCGCAGCCTGAACAGACCACATATCTGGAGGAGAAGAACGGCCTGAAAGGTGATGTACTCTCTGTCGGTAGGCCGATGGCTGCTGGCTCGGCTTACTTGTCCATCGAAGTCGCGCTCTGCTGGCTCCTCAGCACATGTGATCACATATCTCTGCGTCTTCTTTACTGTTGATGCTGCGAGGCTCAGCCCATTATCCTATTTGCCTCATTTCGGCGCCTTCTCTTCCTGCATATCTTCTTGGTTTTAGTGCTTGGTACTCGTCGTCGCCGGGACTAGGATCCGTACCAGGTGCGTTGCGAGCAGTGGAATGGCCTCGCGTATCACGGGAACACCTCGGACCAAGTAAGCGCTTGAAGCATATATCATAGTTCGCACGGGCAACTCAAACACTGCTGGATTAGTGGCAGGCCAGCTTCCGTCCACTCAATCCTGGAGTCACAAGGTCAAGCGACAGGCTCTATGCAAGCCGCACATCTTGAAATTGTGGCTACAGCAACAAATCCGCGTAAAGCGCCAATATCTTGCCATCGTCCTTGCCCCAACAACGCCGCAGCAGGGAAGCGCTTTGCTGCGAAGGGAGGCCGCATCAGGCGTGGCACCTCGACACTCTCGCGATGGCAGGGTGAGCTGTAATTCTACATCCACGAAAAGTGTTGCACCCAGATTTATCGGAGGCTCTCAGCGCCGTACTGTTTGGAAGATATGCATCGAAGATAGAACCTGGAGCTCGTGAGACTGGCTCCAGTGAGTCCATTCTGGCTCGTCCACTGCAAGTACTCACCCTGTCTAATGCTATTGCCAAGACACGGATGCAATAGGAGTGACCAACCAAGACCGTTGCGGCTCCGCCGCCTGCCTAAGACAAACACAAAAGTTTGCGGCCTCTCGTATTTCGTAGAAACTGTCAGACCCTGCACTTCTGATGCCCCGGGCTTGCGTTGTCCTGTCCAGGGCGCCCACTAAAGAACCACGCTGGCTCCGGAGGCGGCGCATCAGTGCCTCTCAACATTCGACACGGAATGTTGCTGCGACGCTGTATTTTGTGAGACACTCCAGCAAGGGGTTGAGACGGCGCACCTGCTGAATATCATCTATGTCGGCGTAGCTTTCGCCAAGCATGCCGCCCCACCTGCCATGGCGTCAGTGGCCCAGGCTATCATAAATCTCAAGTTTGCAAGGAGGCAAGGGGTAAGCATGCATGATTTGTATGCTGACTCAGACAGCTGAGGGTGCCACCACTCATCCTCCACTGTCGAGGTGTCAATGACGATTTTGTCAAACTCCTAACTTGCAGTGATGTCTTTGTAGAATTTCACGCGAAGGACAGACCAATCAAGAGCGAGCACAACTCGGAAAATGGTCAGGTCGTGCAGTACCAGCCTCAAGCACGGCTTCTGTCTTCTCAGAGTCTGGACTTGCCTGCAAATAGGGGGCAAAACAAAGATTTCGAGGTAAACGGTAAACAACAGCTTTGCTGGGCCTGATAAACGGCTTCCAGCTCTGCTCTGACCCGCGGGGGAATTTCCTGAACGTGAGGCTCCAGTTCCATGCATGGTTGTGTGCGGCCTTGAGACAAAACCAATGACTGCTGTTTTGCTTCGGCCGCTAGGCCACAGTAGGGATGCAGAATGCACTGGACGATATCTATCTTGGCCAAGGAGTGGCAGTCCGCACCTTTCCGCATGCGACGCCAGTAGAATCAAATCCTCCGAGCTTCTTGTGCTCGCGCGCCTTTGAGCAAGCGCGGCTCAATGTCGCTTACAATTGTTGATTGTTTGGTGGACGAATCGGGGCTCTTCAAGAGCTGTTGGCCTCTCTCTATAGCTCTGGCCACTCAGATTAAGACCAACGAGTGAATCTTCCGGGGCAAGAGGCTTCTGAAGCTCAAAGAGCTTTGTAGGATAAGTTTTAGTCGAAAGCTTGTGCTGGGGGAAGCATTCAACATGCAGCCAGGCAAGCTTTACCCTCCACCAAAGCTCTGAACGCCTCCCCTTCCGGTTGAGGGGAAGAGCTCGACAACGTGTCTTCGCTGCATGTGCTCAAACAAGGATTGTCCACGTGCAAACGCAGACTTGATTCTCAACTGTTTTGCGAATCTTCCAGGTCTCAACACCTCTGGCCCTCTCCTGCCCACTCCTCTTCAGAAATTCCAACATCTGAAAATTCTGCTTTGTCACGCAATTACCCACAATCTCAACATCTCAGGCAGAGTGCCTCGAAAAGCACTACTTTTCTTCGTCAAAACTAATGCGAGAGGACCACTAGCAGTACCTTGCCAAGCTGTGAATCACATGGGATTTCTGTTCACATGGGTGGCATCAGGCGAACATGCCGAGAGAGCATGCAGGCAACAGAAGAAACAACACCAACACCAACAACACCGCCGCCGCCAACAACAACAACAAGAACAACAAGCAGCAGCAGCAGCAGCCACAGACACAGCCACAACAACCACGACAACGACGACGCCGACGACGCCGCAGTGAGAGCATGGTATGATGGAGTCGGTGGCGCTGCTCGTTGTGAGGATGGAACAGCTCCAAACCCAAAGTGCAAGAGCCAATTGACATGCGGAAAGGATCATCATGCTCTCTTGCAGGGCCTCTCTGAAGATCTCCAGTCCGGACTTGGGGATGAAGTCCTGCCAGCGCATGGTGGGCCGAACATGAAGGTGGATCTGTTGCCGTGTCTTATGCTCTTGCAGGATGGTGCTGGATCCGCTGACAGCACATGGCAGTCGAGAATCCATGTTATGCTGACAGGCATGTCGACAATGCAGTTCCACACAAAGATTGCAGAGCATTCCGGTCAGGAGTCTTGCCAGCAGACATGGACAACTCAGTCATGCTGAGTCATGCTCTGATATCCGATCGCTGGAGACGACAACGCCGGGCCATCCAAGCTCTTGTGACCAGCACGAAGGGCCGAAGGGTTGAACTCACGTTTCGCTCAGAGTAACTATGACTTCGGATTTCTTTCGCTTAGACAAGCGATAGTTCTTTGTAATCATCGCTTGTGGTCCTCTGCACTCTTCATCCACAATCTGTGCGAAACCAAGCTGAACCACGCGTATCCCCCTAGATCGGGTCAACATGCCATGCTGCTCCTGGTGCTTGCCGCAAGGCGCACAAGACTGCCGTTTGACCTTTTCTGCCCTGCGCATCCTGCGCCAACAGGCTGACAAGCCAACGGAGATCTCCTTTCGATCCTTTCGTCTTCTGCTGCGTTCGAAACTTTTCGCTGACAAAGCTTCCAAAAATGAAACCCAGGCAACAACAACCAACGGCCTGCCAGGACTGCCAGCAGAACAGCTCAGCGTAACTATGACTTTCTGATTGCATCGTTCAGGCGAACGCAGAAGGTTTGTCATCCTTGCTGCTCTTGCTTGCAGCCGCATGGCACAGCACAAACAAGCACTAGCATTCGGATGCCTAGAACGGCAGCTAACGTCGCAGTGCATGACAGCCGGCAGCTTTACTTCAGGCTGACTTATGCTGAGGCTCTGTCAGACAGAGTCTACGATCCAGATCGGGCAAGACTGACACATACTGACACAGTTACGCAATGTTGACTGCCTCCAACCTCCAACCTAGCGGTCCTTGAAAGCAATGCAGGTTGTTTCCAGGCATCGTGTGAAAGGCCTGTGGGAGATGTGGGAGGCGAACGTGTAGTGTATATGTGTTCATAACTCGCTGGCCTGCAGGAACTCAATGGAAACATGACAAGGATATTTAATTTCACACAAATGCTCCTAGGGCTGAGTTGTCAGCGAGCTGCAAACGACATCTGGATCTTGGCTGCAGGGGCTGTGCTTAGGGGCACATCTGGTTTCAACCGGTATCTGCCAGCACGCAGTTGAGCAGGGTAAGGCTGCAGCTGAAAATTCTAGTCATCCAAGTCGCCTGCACATCATGACTTGATGATAAATCTCCGGAAGTGACATCAAAGAGACTTGGCCTGCGGGTTCATCACGCGTGCCTGGCAGGAAAGCAGTTTGAAGTGCTTCCATGTGACTGCAAGGTTGAATTAGAGCTCGAAAACATGTGCAGCTGAACACAAACACAACCATGTGTAATGTAAGGTTGAGAATTGGAATATATTGGAATTGCGCCTAAAGCATGCCTGGATTTTCCGGACATCCGAGTCTCCGCACCTTGGCATCCATCAGCTTCCGCCTCAACTCCTGGCAAAGAAGGTGCTGTTGCGAAGCGCAGCTTCAAGTTTAGGAGAAACCTCTACTCGCGCTCCTCCGCTTCAACTCGGCCGTCCTGCCACAGAAGCAGGATTGAGGCGACGTCAGTTTGCAGCTAGGTGCTTTGTTAACTTTGCTTGTCTGCTCCTCTACCACTGCTTGACTCGAGAGCTGTCAGGCCGCATGCCGCTACTGCTCAGGCATGTCCCAGTGTCACTGGTCACAGCATACTAACAGCACTCCTCCGAAAGGCCATGGTCCTAGGCTGCGAATGCTGCGATGGCAATGCACTCACCCTATTGATGCATCTTTCATCTCTGCTGTGTGTCGGTGAGCGGGACAAATCATCCGGCTCAGCCCAGGGCATTCTCCCACAGCATCCCTAGAGGTGACATGTTGGCCTTCGCATGAGGCGCAGGACTTTAGACATTGCGCAAGCTAGCTCTTCTGGCTCCCGCTCCCCGTGTGCAGCCTGTGCAGCGTTCCATCGACTTTGCCCATGGCGCACGAAGAAGACAATCTGAGCAGACCATGAGTACAACTTGACTTAAAATGCCTGACATAGACTCGACTTGCGCATGTTCTGGAAAGACTTGAACACCTGGCCTGCTCACGAGGGAGGTCCTGAAGTGGGAACGTTTGGGCTAGCTTGCTCCAAGCTTACATTTGGTGTCCTTCTGAGCAAGAGGTGCCTCCATGTGCGTCTTCACCAGGCCTGAACTAGTAGTTAATGAGGCAACTTATACAGGTGCCAGACATTGGGAGATCCTTGGTTTTAATTGCGTTGAAAACTGTCTTGGCAGCGCCTGCCTCGGTCCAGTTCCAGGTTTCGGTCGAGCTCCGTTGCCATCAGCACAGGTCGAGCATGCTTGCCGTGCACAGGACAGGGTGCTTGCTGCGGAAGTTTGGCTCACATTGCACATCATATGCTTCAGACCTTCTGTTTCACCGCGCGTGCTCCAACAACACCTATACTGAGAAAAACGTGTTTCCAACATTTTCTTTGGAGGCTAGGTTTGCCTAAAAACAGCTTCGGCCGTGAGTTCTCATCACACATGGCAGGCTCAGAACATCAAAAATGCCAGGCTTGACATTGCTTAATCATGAATCTAATTATGCCCTCAACGACTGCATGCCGGTTGTTCGTAGAAATAGCATTAAGAGAACAGCAATTTTCAGAGCTTCTGTGTCTGGTATTGTCTCGTGATGAGTCCAACATAAAATGGTACCTTCAACGCTCTCCAATGCAAATTTACTCACAAGAGTTGCACATGCGGAAAGATCTTCTTGTGGGAATTGTACGCGATTTCAAACCGTCATCAAAGTCATAATTTCTGCCCAAGGTTAATGTGAACGCTAATATCTATCAATGACAATGACAAGCCACGATGTGAACGTGATGTGTGCTGTGATTTAGCTGAGGACCTGCCTTGTATATTACACCTGTACATTGACATAAATGCGTGCTTGTTTTTCTTAACCCTGGCACTTCCTGCACCCTATAGTACCTGAAAAAGTCATGAGCTGCTCACGGAACCTAGTTGAATTTGCAAGGGCAGCCCATGCATGAGAAACATTGTACGTACAGGGGAATCTTCACTAAGGATAGTGCTTGCGCAGGGAATTCCATCATTAAACTTTAAGGGTAAGGATTCCAGGCATCTTGCATTTGGATTCAGGGATTGTGTGCTTCCCATCACAAGCGATGAACGCTACAACTTGGAATGACTGATCCAATATCAGGATTGGCGATAGGGGCATAGAGTGCACATGCGAATCTGTACATTACAATGAGGAAATAATGGAATTACATGTGGGGTGCTAGGTATTGCAGGAGAACCACAAGTGAAATAAGTCTAATTGGAGTCTTTGTACATTATGTACACATGAAGACCTCTTCGGATTGGGGGACTCATATCGATGACGGGATTCATGAGTTTCGGGAGGGGAAGGTCTCCAGATAACGTAATTCTCTTCTCGAGGTAGGAACTCCAGAAGAACCACTGCGATCAGTTATGGGAGTTTGTTCTGCGTCGTATAGTGGGATCTGCGCTACAGTGTGGATCTCCAGGGGAGTGCCTCCATATAAGTGGTAGGATTGGGGACCCCTTCCTATCAGTTCGATTTTTTGGAAGCTTGCCATGTCACTGGTCAAGATTTATTCTATTTACAACGCCAGTTTGCCTACATCATAGGGGTTGCAGCGGGATCCTCGGTTCGATGCGGGACTGTATAGAATCATGCAACAGGTTGTGCAGGAATCCAAGATTTGACAAGCTTTGGAATGAGATCTGCGAAAACAGGGCAGGTAACAAAATATGCATGCACGCCACATGGGTTACGCAGGTTTCTACACATTTTATATGCTACGTTCCAAAAGAAGATGCGTGAATAGAGTGATTGGCTGGGTGCGTTTCTCTCACAAAAGAGGAACAACAATGAAAAAGTCCACATCTGAGCACAACTAATCTATGCGAGAGCCTTCGGCATATTACACCTGTCAGAGAAGTATGCCCTGTACGCAACTGCCTTGAGAACAAAGCCAGGGGCCTTTCGCTGCCAGCGTCCGCGAAGCCCCGTAGATGAGCACAATGTGACGTAATAGGAGCCTGTGGCATCGTTGAAGATCAAGTCCCGAGTCGTGCATTGTCTAGTGGCGTGGCTCCCAGGAGAACGCACTGTTGCCAGATGTTGCCAGAAGCGAAGGAAAATCGGAAATGTTCAGCAAGAAGACATCGACTTAACACGTGCGTCTGCCCAGGCTACATCATTGCGCTTGCGTGCAGCAAGTCAAGTACAATAGGCCCGATGCGTGCCTATTTTGTAATTTGACTTTTGCACGCTAGAAAAAGACATTGCACATCGCGCAACTTCAAGTCTCCAGGCCTTGAGACCTACATACAAAGGCCTGCCTTTATCAAATACGAAACGGCAGACTCGCAAATCCTAAACCTTGCTGTTTTGATGCTGCGCCTCTTTGTCTTGAGGGCTTGCGCAGAGCTAGCCCTCATTCATGTCTTCTGTGCATTCTGGAGTGCCCAAAAAGGAATACTTGGCAGACGCTGGAACAGAAGTTTTCTCTTCATAGCAAACCTTCCTGCTACAAATTAACTCGCAGGGTTGCCTTGGCAGACATCTCAACCAGACCATACTTGTATAGAATTATACGGGCAGCAAAGATGTCGAAGGACATGCCATCTAGCCACGTTTGTGCTCTTGCGTAGTTGCGGGACACTCACACTACAAGTATACTTTGGTGTGTCAGCTTTAAAAAAGCTATGGGCAACTCAATACCGGAATGATGGATCCTAGGTTGTGTCCAGTAGGTGGAGGTCCGTGGAATGCTGTGCAATCCTCCTCTTCAACACTTTCGACTCATTCCGGTACACTTGGACGCCTGAAACCTAATCTGCCTGTTTTTTTTGGCTGCCTGTGTGACTCCTCACCTGTACAGTTGCCCACATACTTGATGCCTGATTGATGCCCGGTTGCGGTACGAAATGTCTCCTGAGACTTCTCCTGGCTGTACTCTGGCCAAACTCCCAACACTTCACTGGCCTGTTTCTTGAACCAATAAATCTAGCCGCTTGACGTGACCTGAACATTCTTGAGGCTCCACCCAGTTTGCAGCAGTTTTGCACCTGACTCCTCCCTTGCTGGACTTGTTGAAATCAAGTTGGCTCAGTTGCCGGCCGTGCTACTTGTTTTTTGAGTTTCATGTCAGTACACTTGCCCTCGTCTTCCGGGCATTCAATTGAAACTGAATTTCGGTACGGTTGCCGGCCAAACGCTTTCTGAAACCCATATCTCCTGCCAGCCTCACATCGCATCTAACGTCCTTCGTTGCATTTTGAGTTCGGCACCGATGCTCACCTGACACCTCACCTTGCTGCTTGCTGCAGCCCTATTCCAGTACAGTTGCTACAGTACTGTCTGTTCTATTGCTGGACTCCTGCAGTCCTCTACGAAGCCTTGAACTAGTGTCCAAAAGTCCAGCCAGGCCAGTAAAAAAGTGGTCCAACTACTTGTGTGGCCTTCCAGAGCAGGAGCTCAAGTCTGTCTTCAACCAAGAACACACGTCCAGCCCCTTGTTGGCCATTCCCAAATGCTGGCCCAGTACTTTGGGCGAAAGCAACCGTCTAAGTGCGACTGTCCAAAAACCTGTTCCCAGTACCGGCCCAGTGCTCTCGTGGGTATCCGTAATGTTCGTCCAGCATTTTTCGCAACAATCTAAAGCCCTGGCTTGTTTTTGGCGGCAATCCAACGTATCCATGCAGATTTTGGGCGGCTATGCCGGCTGTGCAAAGTACTGGTTATGGTTAGGCGGCGGCGGATATTCATAGTAATGATGCTGAGACGCAGAGAAGCAGCTGAATCTACAACGCTGCCATGCTTTCATGAGTTCATGATTGTTTGAGGTTTCTTCAGAATTTGACGCTTGAGTCATAAGCACCTTGCGTGTTATCCTTCCTTGTCCAAAGCAAGCATTTCCGAACGCTATGCGGAACAAGTCATTTTCAAGCTTCGGTTTTGGCAGGATGAAGATCAAAAAGCCATCCGTGACTTTGGCAAGCACAAGCTTTCGGGCATGGATCTATAACCCATTATAGTGGTATCCATCTTTTCCATTATCCCCTATGTACCCGCAATAGACTATAGTAGTTTCCAATGGCTTTGTGCCGCCGAGTCACGCTCTGTGAGCATCACTCAAGGCCTGACAATTTCTAGCATTTCTGACAAGATGCCTTTGGCCATGACAAACCATACTCTCATTGCAAAGACCCCCTGTGATGTGCAACTGCTGCACCCCTGGCTTGAGGCATTGCTTGCTTTCTGGCAATTTCTTGGCTTCTGGATCCTACATATCCATCAAGGCAACCTAAAGTGAGACAATGTTGAGAGGTCGGCCTCAAGTTCGGATCCCAAAAGCCGCTGGCCTCAACAAGGTGACATCTGGGTAGCGTGCAAATTGGCAGGCTGTTTGGACATAATGAGCTTTGCAACGGCACCTAGTAGTGAGGTCGTGCAGCGGTCGACCAGGCTCAGGAAGCTGGCCTGAGAAGTGTTTGGTTCTGAGCAGCACTCCTCTAAAATCCGTATTCGCTGCAGATCGTGCAGACGCAACTCAAAGAGCCCTCCCAAAATCTATAGGCAGAAGCGGCATAGCGCTGTTCAAGGCAGGGATGCCTTGGCACCTTGTCGTCCAGCAGCGGACTGGCCTAAATCCAGGTTCTTGCACCTGCGCTGCAGCGCTCAAGTCTTCCAAACTGCTCGCTAGCCCCAGGCTGAACACAGCCACACGCCGCGTTTTGTTCGTATTGTCTAACAAGGCACTGGTCCCAAAACGTATGCACACACATACATGAATTGCAACTTCTATCAAGGCATGCTTTGC